CCTTTCATCTTCACAGCCATCCTCCATTCACCCTCCGTTTCTGACCAACCATCCAGGGCCTCTCTCAGCAAATCGTCCTCCTCCTCCACAGTTCTGCTTTCCACGGGAGAGTGACAAGCTCCAATTTAGGTCTCCACAGTTTTTCTTGGGCTTATCCCCTTAAACCGGATTAGCTAACGTCTTAATGCCAGCGACACCAGTCACAGCTCACCATCTGATCCTGCCTTTCAGGATTTGCTGCATCTATGCACTTTCCATTGCTAAACTAGATCCTCTGATCTTTCCTTCCAAGCCCCCCAACTCCCTGTCACCACCACCCTGCCACTGTGGCCTGCTCGTTATACTCCTCATATCTAGGAGATGCCCAGATCTCCTCCTCCTTTCCTCATCCAACACCTCCAGGCTCTGAACTCACTGGCAGCCTTTGCGCTTTCTCTGTTTTCACCTACAGCTTTCTCTTCCAGACTGTCTTCTTCACTTTGAGATACAGCTGCCCCTGGAAAACTCACAGCACCCCTTCCTTAAGCCTCCTTTTTCTTTGGTATCAGATACAAAATCTTGAGGCTTCCTTCCCCACTGTCTTTTACACACAAACCAGCCATGTGGCGGCCTCTCTTAAACCCCCCTTACAGGCCCACGTCCTTCCCAAGCAGTCCTTCACTCTCCATCCATCACCATCACAGGATGGAGATGCCACTGCCGTAGCATTCTCCTCGCAGCAGTGCTGAGCAGTTGCATCAGGAAGTCCTTTTCCTCCCACATCCACCCCTTTGCCCCAAACCAGCTCAAAAACATCTTAGGGTCAAACCAAGTCAAACTTCATCAAACTGTCTGTCCCGACCACCTCAGTGTTCCTGAATTTTAGCTGATCCCCTGCTCTCTGGGTGGAGGTGAGGGACTCTTTTTAGCCCAAGAAAACAAGTATGACAAGTCAGTGACCAATCTGCAGCTCCTCAGGAGGTTCTGCACCTGGCAGCCAAGAGAAGGAATGGTGTGATGTGCAACTTTCTGTCATGGCCCTTCCTTGCTGGGATGTGATGGAGGAACCACTGAGAGCAGTGTGAAGACAAGAAAAGCACTGGTAGCCATGGCACTTGGCCTGCTCACTCCCACCCCACCTCTGGGTGCTCTCCAGCATCCCACCACAGCTCACTCGGATTCCCAGCTCATTGCATGATGTAAAAACCAGTCACGTTCTCTGTATCGATCAGGCTGTCCCTCCCTGCACATGTTCCCTTTGTCCCCCCATAAAATAAAACCCCAACTGAGAAGAGTCACCAGCTGGAGTTTAATTTCAGACTCCAAGGCGTATCTGGAGCCAATTTGCAATGCGCTTACTCCGAAAATCGCCCTCCCCTGTGACGCTTGACAGCTCCAGACCACAGTCCTGCTCTCAGCTCCGAAGGAAAAATGTTTTAATTTGTCACAAACCAATTATAGCGTCTCATCTATCCCTGAATTACTCATCTTGGCTACAGTCTAGGACAAAGGGCCCCTCTGAGAGGAGATTAGACATGGATATTAACAAGAGAAAAAGTGTCCACTGTCTCACCTTGCTGGGGACGCAGCTTCGTACGAGACAGGAAAAGGAAACCCCTCCTGACTGACAGCCAGAGGGAGGGCTCCCATCCCACAGCAAATCCCTCGTTTCACGCGGAAGAATAGTCACGACAAACTCCGTATTCAAACAATATTCATGCATGGCAGATAACAGAGTCACGGCTGGCAGAGCTGCAACATGAATATAAATAACCTTCGCTCCCTCGGTTGCTGCTGCAGACGCTTTGCCACTGTGCTGGAGCGTGGGTGAAGGGGCTGCCAGTGGTGCACGGGGCTGGGATGCTCTGGTGGGTGCACTGCCTTGTCCGAGCTCCACGTGCCACCCCTCTAACGAAGCTCCTTTCCCTCAAGCCCTGCACTAGCTTGGAATGCCCTCTCATGGACTCCCAGCAAAGCAGTCCTCTCCAGCCACCTTCTCCAACCCCAGCTGCCAGGCGTATTTGTGGCTCTCACAGGGCACGCCAGCACCTCTATGAGTCCTTCCTTCGGACCAGACCTAATTTCCCAGGCTCCAAGTCCCTCCATATCAGTCCTCCTTCCTTCCCTTCCCAGTGCTGCACTCTCCCTCCCCAAATCCACACTGGTCTAGGACATCAACAGCCAAGACTGGAGTGTTACCTTCCAAGCTGAGACACAGCCTTGAGGATGCTTTTGGACTGTCCCATCTCCTGAGCAGCTCAGGTTCTGATCCATTCAGCTGGAAATAGGAAGTGAACACTCAAAAGCAGCACCTAAAGCTCCCATGGGCAAGAGGCACTTTGAAGGTAATTGCAATGGTGACGAGTCCCAGCCACTTCACTCAGCACTGGACATCAAAAGCTGTGGGCAGAGTTGGCCTCTCAGTCAGCTGGGTAAGCTGGGTGGGTTGCTGCTCCATCTCAAGTTGACTCAAAGCATCTGAGGGCAGCCACAACACTCCCTTCCTCCTCATGCCTACTGCAGATCAGCTTCTTCCCTGGATGAAGAGGGAGACGATGAAAGCCGATTTCCCTTTGTGCTCATGGCGAATAATTTGAAGAATTCCCCTTGTTTACTCAGAACTGTTAATGATGCGTCAGAAATTACCTCGGAGATTGTAATTAAAGAAAACGGCAGAAGAGAGACATACACGCACACACACACACACACACACACACACACACACACAGAGAGCCTAATCACAGCTTCATTTGTGAGTCTGGAAGTGCCAGAGCAGACAGCAGCTTTTTTGTCACCCCAAGCTTGCAGAAGGACCCCCAGGAGCCTCCTAAGTGGCAGAGGCTCAGGGTGCAGCCCCCAGGCCCTGTACAGCCCCCATGCTCCTCTTCAGCTACCAAGAAAGCAGTGGCAGCACCCCAGGTATCCAGGAGCTGGCAAGGCCTAGAACCTAAGTGGAGGCCATCAGGAAATGAGCAGGAAGCTCAGCCCCCTTTAAACCATTTTGGAAGTGGAGCAGCTGACCTAGAAGAGTAATTAAGCTCTCAGTCATCACCGAAATGCAGACACCCACATGCACACAGCAATGTATCTGTCAACCCCCCGCTAGCCTGACCTCGGGGCTTGGTGTCTGATGGGGTTGGAGCAGAGCACAAAAAGCCCTTTCTCATGGAGAAGGGAGAGGAATTTGATTCCTGTTCAGTTACAGGAGGGTGCCTGGATTGCCTAATTACTCAGGGGTGACCGCTATGGAGAGGCAGCCGAGAGCTGGTTACCCTGCACCCCCCTCCCTGCTCAGACCCAAGGCCAAATCCTCTTGCTTAGCCCCCTGAAGCACTTCCACAGGGTGAGCAAAGCTGCTTGTACCAGGAGAGCAAACGGGGGTCAGGTGGGGGAATCGGCTCAGCCGAAAGCAGCCAGCTGGAGAAAAGCCATTCCTTTCTCCACCTTAGCCAGCGGCTTAGTTCTAGGGCTCATTTCAAGCACTGAATTAAGAGAATGCTGGAATTAGAAATCCTGTGAGTCCCAAATTCAAGGTAGAAGGAGGAGGAACAAGCTGTGTTGTCCTCATGCTCACAACTAGCAGTTGTCAGGGTGTGCAGGAGCTGTGGGGCTCTGTGCCAGGCTGTACAGGGCTTGGTACTGGTAGACCCTGGCCATGACCAGGGAGAGTTCCACCAATACAGACAAAGGTTTGGGACTCCAGGCAGAGTGTGTTTGGATCATTACTTCACTATTTATCCACTCATCTTTGGTGTAGAAATAATTGAGGTCAGTCTTGCAGTCAGCCTCACAGCAGCCCATCACCTCCTGTTCCTCCTGGTGTGGTGAGGCATGTTGGGGTCCTGTCTTCACTCCAGTTCTCAGTATTTCTCTACCTAGAGACCACTTACACCTTTTAAATATTCCCTAGACCACGGTTACCATCTCCAACAGACTCCAGATGGGAGAGGCAGCAAAGTTTTCCCTTCAAAACCTCTTCTTGGAGGCAGGTAAGCACACAGCTAGCAGGTGAATGAGTGCCTGCTGTCTGCCCTTCTCACAAAAGCAAACCCTACAGCAGGTCCAACCGTGCACTACTGCCAGCACAGGCCCCTGGGATTATTATTTTAAGCACCTTGTTGATCACATTCCTGCATAGGCCCATTTCCAGCCTGCCTTCAAGATGGGTGAAGGTTAAACTGCCCCTTATCTCCTCGAGAGGGAAGGATTGGATGAGTTTGGCCGATGCTACCACCTGCCAAATCCAAGCAGACTAAACTTCTCAAGCCTGGGGAATCTGAGCCTGAAAAGATGAAAGCCCAGCAATAATGACAGCCTGGGACAGCTGTAGGAAGGCACCCACTCATCAGGAGGGGTATTTCTCTCCTGCAGCAGAGGTGGTTTCAGCTCCCTCCCTCTCAGCTGGCAGCCCACAAAGGCAGGTTTAGTTCTGGGGATTTGCTGCTACTGCCCAGGTCTGAAAGGAGGGCTCTCCTCCCTTCCCTCATGTTTACACACAGAAAGAGCGAGCTTCCCAACAAGCAACCCAGGGTGACAAGGCACAGCATGCCAGCCCCTGTGGTCAGCATGTACCCCCAAACCACCCTCTGGGCGAGCACAGGATAACACTGAGCAGAGTGTGGTGACAGAGCCTCCACCAGTGTTTTACCCGATGACACCACAGTTCTGCCATTTGTGTCACCAGTGCCATAGTACAGCTCTGGCAGAACAAAGCTCTGTCTCTCGTCTCTCCCACATCCTGCTGGCCAGGGTGGGACCCCACAGGCTTTGGGATGTCCATGATGCTAAAGCAGAAAGGGGGGAAATGAACTTACCTGAGAGCTGGGGGTAGTTTGACACTTAAACAAAATCAGTGACAAACCCCTCGGTGCTGCTGCTCTCTCAGGACATGCAGGTGGCCTGCAGGCTCTAGGCAGGGGAGCTGCTCCATCACAGCTATGCCAAGCCCCAGAGAGGGATTGTTAGTGCTCACAGCAACCAGAGCAGTCCATACCCAGTATCCCAAAATCACACTGGGATGCTAAGATTTGCTCCAGCAATTCTTTATTGGGCAAAAGCATATGCAGGTACGGGGTGTCCCATCACTTGTACATACATGGCACACACTGTGGGCACCAGGAACCCCCTCGGGCACCAAGTCCCACCCCGAGCACATCCCTGCCCGGGACGGAGAGTCCCACTGCCACCTCGTGGGAAAGGGACGCATCGCCTCTGCTCTGCCAGCGGCACAGCGGGAGCAAACCTCCTCCGTGCAAAATCCCTGGCCCTGCTGGGGAACAGGACCCGTAGAAACCTCAAAATACCTGGCTGGGAGGGAGGAGGGAAATCCACGCATACCAGAGCTAGAGGCATCGTGACTTAATCTGATCTTTCCATGACTGTCTCCATCGTTGCTCCCCAGGTTGACTGGGAAGAGAGGGTGATAACACACAGGGCAGGTGTCTGGCTGCAGCCACTGGACTGAGGGAAGAGTAGAAAGACTCACTGCCAAGAGGCCAGGACCTGCTCCTACACTCCTGGTCTCACCAAGGTGATCCACAGCACCCCTTGAGGGCGCTGGCTGTCCAGGGACGGAGCCTCAGGCATTGAAATATTGGTCCCATGCAGAAGACTCATGGCTGAGGCAAACCTGTTAATTCCATTCTGCTCCCAGTTAGCACCAGGTTATTAAAAGAAAAGTTCTGTTCATTTTCATCAGGATGGGCCACAGACAATGAAAATCCTGCTTCAGTGTGCAGTCAGAGAAATAAGGTACCTACAAACCTCCCCCACAGAGGGAACAAAGCAGTGAGCAACCCCTCACGGCTTTGAGAAATCAGCCTACAGCAACTCCCAAGAGGAGGTCTGGAAACAAATCACTATTGCTGAAATTGCTGTGGGTCGAGGACATCCCACCCCACAGACACAGAGGTGGTTCTGCTCTCTGCTCTCCCCCACGCTGAGGGGGCTGCAGCTCCAGTCTGCACTGGTGTGATAATGGGGAGACCCTCAATCCTTCCTGCCCCACAGCATCTCCCTCTCTGCATCTCTGATGCTGGCCAAAGAGCCACAGCACAGGCAGGGAGGGAGGGACAATGGTCCTTCCACAGACCAGCAAAGCGTCCTGGGTGAAACCCTGGGTGACAGGAGTGGGGCACTGTGGGGTGCCATGCAGGGCCACACTCCTGGATTCAGGACTATAATGACCCAAGCACTGGATGGGCAAACTGAGCTCTGCCCTCCTGAGCTGCCAACAGGGCTGAAGCCATCTCTGAGCTACAGGCAAAGAAGGAAAACAGTCTTAAAAGTCCATCTTCTGGGAAAGGTGTCCTTGGGCCCCATACCAGGGTCAAAGGGGGTTCACACCATCCCTTTGGTCCTCAAACCTGCAGTCTCCATGTCAGGGAGCAGAGGAGCCTCAGCGCAGTCCTGCACAGCTCCAGGAAAGCAGGACTGAAGGAAGGACCACACCTTTGATGGGCCTCTCTGAGCTGCTGGGCAAAGGAACATCACTCCTGAGCTTTACTCTTATTTTTCTGCTTCCATATTTTGGACAAGCGGAACTTGTTCTCTTTCCTCTTTGGCTCCTGGCTCTCAAAAGATCCATCTGCAGGAGAGGGAGTAGACACAGAGCAGGTTGATACCCACAGCCCCAGTGCCCCCCAGTGCTGCTCTGTAGGAGTACAAAGGGCCCTTACCCAACTTCTGGATCATGTCTGCCAACATCTGGTCCTCCTCTAGCTCCCTGAAATGGAACAGCATGGTATTAGAAAACTTTGCTGTGTTCATGACAAGGTGTTAGACACCAAAAACCACACAAAGACTGCTGTTATTCCCCCAGTGACTGCTGTTATTCCCCCAACCTCCACAGCATACCCTGAGAAGGGTGCAGGAAAAAAACCCCAACAGTTAGAGTCCTGGACATTAGCAAATTGCATCTGCTTCCCTTGAAAGCAAGAGCCTGTGTGGGGATTTCCAGGCCTTCTCCCAGCTGGCTTGTGAATCATCCGAGTTCATGGAGTGGTGAGGCACCACCACACCCAAGGAGATGAATGAAGGCTGAGACACCAGTAGCCCAGGGTGCTATGGAGGTGCTCATTGCAATGGGGACAAGCACACTGCTATCACCTCCTCGGGCCTGGGCATTTCTAGAATCCAGAAGCTGGAGTTGGTGCCCTGAGGTCAGGAAATGGAGGCTGCTCTCAGCATCAGGAGGCACAAATCCAGCTACTTGACACAGCAGTCTTCCTTTGAACTTGGGAAGGATCCAGCTCTTGGCTACAGTTGTTCCTTCAGTTGCTGCAGCAGATGAACACATTCCTGGCTTCATGTTCCCAGAGTCTTCCTGCAGCTCCCATACTGTCTCCAGCCTACTCATCTCCAGCCTCTCCCTCTCTCCCCCCACCTTCTACATTTTCACAGCCCTTGTTCTAACAGCAGCTTTAGCTTGAGAGAACACTGAACAGGGCTGCAGTCCTGATCTCTTTCCAACAGCTGCCAAAGACGGCAGCATTTAGGGCAAGATGGTTGGTGACAGGTGACCACCCACCTCTCATGGAGCAGAAGTCTGGATTACAGCCATTCATCCATCCCTACAGCCTGGGCAGCAGCAGAAATATAATGAAAATCATCCCTAGTGTTGGCTCATTTCCCACCATCCGAGGGCCCTCACCTGAGTCTGTCCTCATCCAGGCACTCCACAATATTATTCCGATCATTGACCGTGTTTAGGTAGGACTCCAGAAGCTCCTTCTCTCGCTCCTTCTCCCTGGTTGTCTTCAGTTCTTCTGCACAAGACAAGGAAAGCCCATCTCACAGCTACAGGTAGTACCTCCCCACTGTGCCTCCCCACTGCTCCAGCAAGTCTAATTTTATTATCCTCACACTCAGGGGTGCATCCTACATTCCCTTGGAAAGCATCCGGCAGCTCGACAGCACAGTCAGGGGACACCCCACAGTGCAAGTGCAATCCCAGGCAGTGCCATTCAGATCTGAAGAACATCCCAGGACTGGCGCACGAAGTGAAGGGATCCACACAGCCTGGGGCCAGCAGAACTCCCAGTGTGGCTGGTCCTTACCTGGCTTGCTCATGAGGCGTCGCAGTTCCGTCTCAATATTCCACTGCTGCTCTTCCAGCTCCTGCTGCTTCATCCTGGAAGGAATGACAGAAGTGATGAGCTCCTGCCCCGCCATGCCCCAGGGCTGGACCCTTCTCATACCATGCTAAAGTTCCAACCTGCATTGCCCACAACCTGGGCAGGGGCTGGTGGGTCAGAGGAAATCTTCCTCCATCACGTTTGTGAAGTTTCCCTCCACACAAGCTCTTCACAGACCCTGGGTGCTCAAAGGCCCATCAGCTAATACTGCCGGCAGTTCTCCCAGGGACATCCTCAACCCTCCTCATCCCACCAATTGGCACACTATTTTTTTGGGCTGCCACACTCCCTCCCATTCACTGCTCACAGGTGAAGTGCACAAGCAGACAGGTGAATTTCTAGTTGTACTCACTTGTACATCAGTTCTGATTCCTGTCTGAGCAACAGCTGTTTCTCATGGATCAGTTTGAACCAATCCACCATAAGGGCATCCTCGGACTCATCTGCAAAGGAGACAAAGGGCAAGATTCCAGAAGCTGCAGTTCAGCTCCCCTGGCTCAAACACAAAATCCCTTGAGGCAAGCTCGGATGAGTTACATGAGCCACAGGCAACCTCAAGTGAAAACAGGTAAACTCCTGGGTACAAGGGATGCAGGTCACTCCCTGGGAATTCAAGGAAGCTGCTCATAGATACTCTGCTACAGGACACCCAGCTCATCTTCCACATGGCTTCCTCAACTCTGCCCTTCTGCATGAACCCACTAAGCCCTGTGAAACCAGAGCCAGTTATGACAGCCAGCCCGGCTTGGGATCCAAAAGCCAGATCGATAGTGGAGTTCCACTCCCAAAACTCTCTGGTCCTCAACCAAATTAACACAAGACCTTGCTCAAAGCTCAGGTTATGAAACAGTCAGAGAAGGTTTAAAATTCCCGGGGCTTTATCTTTCCACACTAGGTACCTCTGGCAATCTGTTGTCTCACATGTAGCCTGAGCTCTTAAAAATGGAGCCAAGAGTGCCCAGGGGTAGGACATGAGCCTCACACCTCCCCACCATGATAGAGCTGGCTCATGGTCTCCTTTACCTCCCTCGCAGGCACGCAGCTGCTTCTCCAGATCCACTCCTTTCAACTCCAGCTCATCCAGCTGCTTCTCAATGTCACACACCTTCTCCTGGATTTTATCCTCGGGGATGTAGTCTGGGTGCAGCTAGGAGAGTAAATGTAGGACTGAATACAGCTCAGTGCCCTCAGAACCCCCTCTGAGGTCACAGCCCCAACAGAGATGGGAAGAAGCATAAGGAGCCCAAGTGCAGAGCCACATCCTGCAAGAGCCAAGCCAGCAGAAGTGCAAAGCTGGCTGCTCACAACAGAGTGGTGGCCACTGCAACCCTACAGCACTGCAATACATTTGCTGTGAGTGATAACTCTTCCCACACCTGTCAGTCCACAGAATTCTCCCTCCTTTGTTTGGGGACACAATGTCTGCCATAATTTTGTTTGGCTCTGTCTCATTCCAGCTTCTATTGTCTCCCTGCATAGGAGATAACCAGCAGCTTCTCCACCTTGTGTCTGCCCCAGAGCCTTTCACCCTTTTCCTGGGAATCCAAATAAACCCTCCCAGTAAGACGAACTTAGATATATCTGGGCAAGTACTCCAGAAGGATACCAAACAACCCCAGCCTGCTCCCCTCACACCTGGTTTACAGCCATACCTTGGTTGGGGACACCACTTGAGGCTCATATTTGCTTTTTGGAGCAGGGAGTTTAACTAGAAGGGAGAAAAAAAAAATCAAACAAAGAACGTCAAAACAACCTTTAAATAATTTTATGGCGTGGGGCAGTGCCTACACCAGCAGAGCACAACAGGTCCCAGCCATCCAACAGTGGTCACAGATGACACACATGCATCTGCACGCCTGACCAAGGTGAGAGGTGTGTCCTCACAGCCTGATTTACTCCTTGTGGTTTGTCACTCGGATACCCCTGCTGCTTTCAACCCCAGGGTATAGGCAGTCACCTAATTCAGGTGTGACTTTGGAACTTCCACCCAAGAATATTGACTTCCACAGTCATTCACTACCTTGTTAAAACCCAAAGATATTTATTGTGGCAAAACCCACCCCTTACTAAGCTTCCAGAGGATAGCACAGAAAAGCTGGGTTACTGCCACAGGAAACACCAAGATATACTTTAAAATGTCCCTCTAGTGCTCTTTCGCAAGGAAGTATCAGTAAATATTGATGAAACAAAGATGGTCTAGGGTACCTCAGCATAGGTCTCAGGAAACTAAGGTTCAATTCCTCCCACAAAACACTTCCTAGGTGAGAAGTCCCTTAGGCCCCACTACACAGCATTATTTAGGCCCTGGACACCTATTAAAATCAATCCTTAAGCAATATGTATTTGTTCCACTGTGCCTCAGCTTCCTCTGCCCAACTGTGCTGCAAGGATAACTACAGAAGAGTGTGAGGTATTTGGATACCCAAGGGGCTGGGCTGGATAATTACCACAGAGAGAGAACAGAGGCGTACGTGGATGATGTGATAACGAAGGAAAACTCTAATTTTCAAAAGAGCACAGCTGTAAGAAAGGCAGCAGCAGTGCAGGCTCCACACACACAAGGAGAAAGACAGGACAGACAGACTAGGGGAGCCTCATGAGAGCCTCCGGCAACTGAGGAAGAGCTCAAGGACAGCTCTCTAATTGCTCAGCCCTTGCTCTATCTCACTTTCTTAGAAAGAATGCAAAAGGAGAAGATGCTGGACGTGGCTGTGTTGTCCCTGAACTGTTGGCCTCTGTCAGGGATCTCTTCCCTCTGGATGCTGCTGTTTTGCTGCCCCATAAACTACCTGTGACTCACACTTCTCTTAAAGATTCCTCCAAGAGGGACCCGGCCTGCCACGAGCTGTTTGCCTGAGCAACAACTCCCTCTCCCAGCTCAGCCCTGCATCTCCAGGCTCCTTCCAAGTGACCTCTGCAGCACCTCCAACCAAGGCAGAAAGCTGCACCAGTGATCATGAGAAGACCAAGGTCATTGGAGGGGAAGAACCAGTAAAATGACACTCTCTGACCATCTCAGGGTCTGATATCCCCTGATATCCTCAAGTTCTGGCTCTACAGACACAGGATGGGTTGGCTGCTTGCCAGCAAACTGGAAGTAGGACAGTTGGCAAGAAAACCGTGGGGCCTCCTTTCTCAACAGAAAACACCACCTACAACGAAGAAAATGAACGATCTGCAGAAATGCTCATCATCCACAGCCCCACACAACCACCAGGACTAAGGGCAGGAACAACAGCTCTCTGAGTGCTGAGGTAAAACACCTACACAGAGGAGCAACAGTCTGCCCTTAATCCACAGTCTGCTCAGTGACAGCAGCAGCAGACCAGCCTTTCAGATGGCAGACTTGGATACAGATGAAAAGGGCGGGGAGACTGCTGGGAAAGTTTCCCAGAGTGGCACTCCCCAGTGGAAACATTAAGCTTCAGAAAGATTGGTATAAACCCTGGCCTCCCTTATCTTAACAGCTCACTTCCTGGGAGAGACTAACGCTGAACTTTGTGGCTGAGCCTAAGGAAAAAAAGAGATGGAAAGTTTTAGGAAAATCATGGCAAAGGAGGCACACTAAACTTTTAAAAAAAAGACAACTGGAGCTTGAATGCTTTGTAGCTGTCAGAGGTCCTGGCTAAAGGACAATGCTGGAACCAGCTAACAAACCGAAGCATGAGGCCACCAAGCCATCGGGACCCATCCTGCTTGCTCCAAGGCAAACATCAGGGGCAGGGCTGAGCCATAGTGTGAGGATCTTCTGCTCCAGATAGATAAGACAGAGCTAGATGGGGTAAGGAAAGGGGTGGGAAAGAGGCTGAGCAAGCAGGACAGCAGCAAACATCAGGTTAGTTCCAGAAAATTTCATTAGCATAGTGGAGGGATATGATGGAGCAAGGACAACTGGGCAATGGAGGTGAAGCTGTGGTTGAGCACGCAGGAGTAAGGAATTGGATTAAGAGTAGGGACAAACTGGTCAGAACTGGTCAGGACATCTTTGGAAGTCTAAGAAACAGCAGTCTTGGCTCCTGCTCCTGTGGGTCCTGCCAGCTGAAGTCTCTGCCTGACAGTTCTCTGCATTCCTTTTATTTCCCAAAGCCACTCAACTGAAGAGGAACAGAGACATCAAGTAGATCTCAGTTCCCCAAATTAGGAGATGGTCCTCTTCATAGCATTGACTCTAAAGAATGACAGGGCAGTGACCTTGACAAATCCCTATTTTAATTTCTTCCTTTCCCACTGAATTCTCTGGCCTTGCTGCTTCCTGCTTTTAGGCCAAGCTGGCTAATAAAAATTAATTGCACAGATTTTCCCCTCATGACAACAGCCACAGGATTAGCCACAGAAAACTCGGGGACACATCTCCCATGGTGACCAGTCAGGCTGTTCCCTGACAGTGCAGAGGAGAGAGGGCTGTTCAGTAGGCAGAAGAGATCTTACTTGTAACAGTGCTTGTCTTCAACTGGTTGCCATGTTCCTCCTTCTTGGTAGAGCCCCCAGGATCTTTCCAGTCTTCTTTTGAATTCTGACAGCTCTTGATAAGATCTGAGCTGGGGATCAACAACTTCTTTACGAATCCACCAGAGGAAGCTGGATTAAGAAGCACAGAGAGGTTTTGGGTAAAAAATTTCAACCCTCATCTCATAAAAAATTCCTCTATTGCTCAATACCTCTGGGACTCACCACTAGCCAACTCCATTTCTAGTCCTAGTTCTCCTCTCTTCGTGATAATGTAGGGCATAAGCCCAAAGTAAACAGGGAAAAAGCACTGATTACAAGGCCAGAGTAAGAGAAGAGGAGAATAAACAGTTGGGAGAAGAATAGACAGTTGGGAAACTTCACCAAGATTTCCCACCATTACATAATCATGCAAGAGAAAGTGAAATCTTGCTGACTGTCTCACAGATGGCACCCTGTGAAGACTGAGTCCCTCTCCTTGGGGAAAGATGGCTCTCCAAACAAAGGCACCAGGGCCAAAGTAGGTGCAGAGAGCAAAGATCCCTGAAAGCAAGGCACAATCTCCACCAAGATGTTCTTCACACGTGCCTTGCAGCACTATTGCCTGTCCCCTGCCTGATTAGCAAAATGAAGGCAAAGCTTTTATCCTTCATACCAGAGTCCTGCTTTGCTGGTGGGACAACTAATGGACTTGGCTTTGTCTCCTTGTGTGCTGGGCTCCCTGTTCCCACCTGGGAGTTATCAGTAGGTTTCTTAGAGCCACCTTGGTCTCTGCAAAGAAGAAAGACAAAGGTAGGAAACCATTCCCCTTGCAGAATGGTTCACAGGAAGAGTTCTGGACATCCTGGGCTGGATCTCCATCTGGGATGGTCACACTTTTCTAATCAGAGTCCAGCAATTTGAAATATGCTTTCCCTCCCCAGAAATGAAAGCCTTTGTGTTTTTCATTAATTATTGAAAACAGAAGCACTAAAACACAGAAGCTCTTCCCTCCTATGTGCACACAGACCTGCAGCAACAAATACAGATGCAGGAATGGACATCCCCATTCACTTGTCACGGAGACCCTTCATCTCCAAGACACTCACTTGTTGGCTACAGGCTTCAGCCGAGATCTCCAGTCTGCTGGGCTCTCAGACTTGTCTTCACCAACATTTGTGCTTCCTGAAGAAAGGAACACAGCAACATAATATCAGATCCAATAAAAAGAAACAAGCCGGATTTGAGTCTCAGGAGACTCTCCTAAGATACACTCATGGTGTATCTTAGGAGATACACCATGCACTGGGGCAGATATTATGATGTTGCTGCAGCAAACCAGCACCAACTCAACAAGTTTAACATGAATGGATTCAGATACAGTATGTAGTAAATAATCTCAGTGGCACTTTGTTCCTTTCAGTTCAAATTCCTTAAAATCTGTGCATCTACAGAAACACAGACACAGAGTAAATGAACAGGCACGTTCAACAGCAATACAACACAAACAGCTCAGATCTCAGAGACCAAAGGCTGGGGTAGTGAGACAGACAAAAAAACCCCATAGGGCACAGCAAACTGCAGAGAGATAGTGCTTCTGGCCCAAAAAAAGACAGCCACTTGGAGGTGCTTGAGACACGGGGAATCCCCAGAATATCATCCCTTGGCCCACTGCTCAGTCACCATGGTGGAAGTTTGGTTCAAAACAAACAAGGAGGCTGAGTGAGCCCCAACTGCAATCAAAACATTATCACAAACTTCTGGCAAGGTCTCCCATCTGGGAAAGTCTACCTAAGCCTCTGAAAGCCACCACGATCCCAACGTTTGATGACAGCAAGTACAACTTCAAATACCTGGAGGTCCTCAAAGCAGTAAAACTCACCAGTGCTAGAAGGAGAAACTGCACAGGGACAAATGGAGGTGTGTTGAGCCCCACAACCCTTGAGCCCCACAACCCTTATGTGATGGTACAGACAGAAAGTTCAGGAGTCACGGACACATTCGCTGTGCTGGTCCAAGAGGAAGGCATAAAGTTGGCATGTTATGTCCAGGCAGAGCTGTCTGTGAATCATCCTCACCTTTGTTGCTTTTTGACTCTGGCTTGTGCAGAGAGTCAACGGGTTTGCTGGGAGCCTGGCTCTTGGGCAGAGGGTCTGTAATCTTGTCCTGCTTTGGTGCTGTGTACCCTGTTTTGCCGGACTGTGCTTTTGGAGCTGGACTCTGAGAACTGGCGGGAGAAAACTTGCCACTGCAAAAAAGAACAGCCCAGTGAGTCTTTTTGAAGGGAGAGACCTTTTTAGGTCTTTCCAAAGATTTGTATGTGTCCCTCTACATGTCTTTAAATCTGAGCCACAACAGCAGTCAGGACAAAGGGAAGAAAGACGCAAGGACTTCTCCAAATTATCCCAAGGAACATCTTAGCAGTAAAAAGAGAAAGATAAACAGTGTTTACCTGCTGGATGCTGAGGAGCCAGTGGAACTGAGTCCTCCTGGCCTGCTTGGAGAAGTGTTTGATCCAGCCAAAGCCTGCATAATATTGTTACGTGCCTGATCCTTCCCAGCATTCACTCGACTGACCTCAGCAGTGGTTTTGGCAGGGGCAGTTTTGTCAGGGCCATGAGGAGACTGGGCTTGTTTTTGAGTGTCAGAACTTTTATTGCTGGAGGACTCCAATGACCGAAAAAAATTTTCCCGGGCTTGCTGTGTTTTTGTTGTAGAGGTTGTCCAAGGAGGCCCTGCTGGGGTACCTCCACGGGGATCTGTTTTGTTCCCCAATGAGGTACCTTTGCAGTCATCTGATTTATTTACAGCTGAAGAGGACCATGGAGTATTTACACTTCTGAAGCCAGAGCTTCCAGAAGATGAAACAGATGGCTTGGTTGAATTAGTGAGGCCTTCCTGGCTGGGTTTCTTCAACACCTGCTCTGGTTTCTTGGGTTCTGCTGCTTTCTGGAACGCCCTGGCAGCAGTAGGGGCTGGGGTACTCTCAGGTTTGTTCCCAGTGCTGTGGAGACCAAAGACCTGGACATTGTCTGGCTGCTGGTGGCTGGTACAGATGAACGTACCGGGCTCAGGCCCAGCTTTGTAGTTTCCAAGAAGAAGCAAGTTCCAACACTGCCTGCACCTGTGGATACAAAAGTATCAGAAAACATCCTCCAGAGCGCTGGGAGGCCGCTGACACACAGCTGAGAGTGCAGGCACAACTCTCCCATCAGCACAGAGAGGGTGAAGGTACCACACTGGCAAGGAGAAGACCCTGTGTGCACATTCCTCAGGCACCAGAGCAGGAGCTGTTCATAGCACAGCCTCAAGTAGGAAAGGTGTGGATGAAAACAGACCTGTGCACAGTTTCCCTTATGCACAGGTCAAGAGCAAGCCCAGGTCGCCTCCACTTCGTAAAAAATGTCCCACACCACTCTCTCCAGTCCCAAAGGATCCAGGCTCCCCCTGTGCGACCCACAGGGCTGTGCCCCAGCTTTGATGAGCTGCTGTACCTGAAGCAGTTCCTGTGATAGAGCTTCCCGTCGACCAAGTAGCGCTGCACCAGGTGCACATGTTTCCCACAGATCCCACAGCTGCTGCTGGGGACATTCCCGCTCTCTGCCAGGACCCTTTTCTGTGGGGAGAGGCAGTGGATGAGCAGGCAGCACCATGGCCCCACGTACAGCTACAAATCTCCCAGGCAGACAAGCATTTGGCATGCACAGAGGGCAGAGAAGTGATGTCCAGGAAATCCCTGCTCCCTGAGTGGAATGGCCCTCAGAAGGACAGAGTATGGGGAATATGTTCCCACAAAGCCAGAGGACCAGGGTGTCCTGTCTGCCTCTAGGAAAATGAAGTGCAAAGATCTCCGATCTAAATTAGCTGGGAAAAGGCTTCCCCCTTCTTCTGCCCTGTTTTCATCCCTACTCTGCCTTGAAACTGTTTCCAAGAATTGAATCAATGTTTTCTAGCAAAAATAGTACAACCCCTTAAAAATCTCCATCCCCAGTATCTAGGAACAGCATATCCATGTCCTAAGACAACCATGTCCTGTTCACCACTAGATGAACCCCAGGTGGCTGATGGTTTTCCAATGACTCCCACCTCAACCTGTGCAGTACCCAGACCTCTGGATTAAATCCCTCATAGTGAGCAGAAAATTTAGGCTAAGTCCTTACTACTAGGAGTCTTGAACTAGCCTAATACTCTATATCTCACTGAACAGATTTAAGCTATAAACAACACCCAAAACCACATTTCTTACTGTGGTAACTGGGGAGGTTTCCTTTGGCTTAGCTCTGGCTGGTGGGTGGGCAGGAGGCAGTTTTGGTGGCACTGGCTTAGGAGGCTCTGGAACAGTTTTCTTCCCAGGATGCTGCTCCGGAGGTTCAGAGGAAGGACGCTTGATTCCAGCCATGCCTCCAACTGGAAGAATAGGAGAAGGGAAGATTTTAAGGGAACATAAGGAAAACTCATGGGTTTAGGAGTAATTCTATATAGAGTGCCACAGTGGTGCTGACTTGCCACAAGCAGCCTGAAAACACTCAATTCTCTTTGCAGATGAAATAAAACGCCTCAAAATTCCCTATGGGTGGAGAAAAGAGAATCTCCAACACACTTCAGTCAAGCAAGGAATGATGCCCTGTGCCCTCAGAAGTGTAGGGAGACTTCCCTGGGAAATGAGGCTTCATGCCAAGTTTTTACAGACAGGACCCCCCCCCAGCTGTCTCACGGGGATGTTATTTTTGCACCAATTCCTATTCTGAATGAGATGTCTCTGTGCTCCTTGTGGGATATTTGAGCCACGGCTTCACTTCAAGAGCGACCAATTGAGTGGGCACCCATCTGAAAAGAGATTATACCCTTCTCAGTAAACACAGAGAGAGTCTGGGCAGGGAGCAGAGAGGGAGCCCAGTTCCCAGCAGTCTCCCCTCAAGAAAGCCAGCTATCCAAATAAACACCCAAGGCTCCCACCACAGTGACCAGGGGACGGGTGACAGCTGACCCAGTAAACAGTTCAGGCTTGGGCTGCCCCCTCACTTCCCACTTGTGCCATTTATTGAATTCCCAAAGCCCAGCACAATGATGGGTGGCTTCAGCTCTGTTCTTCCATAAATGCACAACCTCAGTAAAATCTTGCCTGCTCCCCCTCTCTGTCCTCCTGCATCCTGCTTATTTCATGGTCCTGCCGGAACCCATTCGAAGGGCACGGCTGTGATTCTGTGACTCTTCTTGGTGTCAGAGGGCACATTCCAGGCTGGGCTCACTTTCAGACACACACATTCACCCCAGCAGCAGGAATGTAACCAAAGTGTTTTGTGGGACACGAGAGAGTATAAAAATGTGCTGTGCTTGATGATGTGGTAGGCAAGATGCTGAGGGGGAGGGAGCAAAGACCCCAACCTGACCCAGATTCTCACCACTTGGCACAAACACGATGGAATCTGTTTGACTTCAATCAGAATGCTTTTCAAACAAGAAATAAAAAATGGAGAGGGAAGAGGGAAGAAGTTGTGGAGGGAGACAAAAAGCATACTTAAATGTGTAAAGAGATGGAGAAGGGGGAAGAGTTTAGACATTAAGGTCAACTCTGAGTGAACTGTGCTTTCTTTCCAAGATGTAGGACATTTTCACTACATATCTCTCCATTTTCATTCACCTTAACAAGTTAAGTAATTCATGTCCCACTTTCTAAAGTTTCCTCTGGAGGAACCTGTGAAATTGGTTTATCATATTATTTCATTTTGGATGAGCTTAAAGCCAAATATAAACCAAGACTACAATAATGCTCCTGCGAGCCCAGATAAACTCTCCAGTACGTGAATATAATGCCTTGGCAGCTCTGTGGCCTGTTTTATGTTTGACAGAATTGCTACCACAATTATGCCAGTTAAGGTGATAATTTCCTTCTTCCTTCCATCATTAATGCTGTGCTGTACAAGCACTACCACTGACGTTGTTACATTGGCACAGCCCCACAGACAAGCTCAGCCTTGTTTGACTCCATGTTCTCACCAGCCCTGCAGTGTGGCAAAGACTGGAACAGGGCTGGAGGTGCTCAAGAAAGGAAAGCTGAAGTAGGGACCATGGAGAGGAACCTCCAGTGCTCCTGTCTGGCTGGACCATACAAATTTTTAGACTGTGTTTTAAATTTTAAGGCAGCAGTTTTAAAGACAAGACATGGCCCTGTACCCTTCCAAAAGCACTGGTGCAACTGTGGCTGGTGTGCAAAGAGTTCAGGTCCCCCACTGAAATAGTTCTGGAACCAAAAAGGCCTCTATGCAGTCTATTTTGCTTTTCCAAGCCTGTTATGAGGCAAGGGAAAGCACGAAATGAAGCCCTGATCCTTCCCATCCCTCCAGGGAATACGGTACTTACTAGGAGACCGTCCATGGAAGTAGTTATAATACTGGGAAACATAGGTGAGGATGCTCAGCCTGTCTGGTACCTTCAGAGCAACCATATCCTCTGCATCCAGCAAGGCTGGGATCCCCAGCTCCTCCTCTGCCACTCGAAATGCCTGGAGAAGGAAGGGGAAAAAAAAAAAAGGGTCTTGTCCAGCCCAGACAGCAGAGCTGCTTCTCATCAGAAGTAAGAAGCTGCACTGCAAACAGCCCCACTCAAATAATAACTGTACAGGGGAACAGCTGCACCAGTTTAACTCCTACATCGTGCTGCCGTTACCGGAACCAACGGAGTCGTGGCTTCCAGCCACCGCCTTGAGAAATCCAGGCAGGGAGCCAAAAATCTGGCCTGGCAAGCTGGCCATAGCTCACTGCACAGGAACTCACCTGGGCTTCCCCTGCTCTTCCTCCAGCCTGCCTCTATCTGGAAGTGCACAGCTGCAGAGAGCCAGGCCTGGCAGAAGGGAATGTGTCAGTCCAGGCTGGCAGACTCATTTCCAGGCTTCCAGCCCAACCTGGAGCGCTCCCCAATTAACGGTGGGCTGGTAGGTGCTTGCAGGCAGCTTTCATATCCAAGTGTTGTGCAAATGTTAAAGCTTCCTCTCTACTACTGTCTGCTCTCACCCATCTGAAAATGGGAAATCTTGGGCTGCAGGAGGGACCCCTCTCTCCCAGACCAGAAAGGGGGAAGAGAGGCGTAATGCAGGAGAATTCCTGATACCTAGCTCCCTTCCAGCTTAACTGTTTCCATGCTACCTAGCATGTATTTGGGGCAAATATTCCTCTTTGTGGTGCTCTCTGCTTTGAAACTGCAGGATCCAAGTCAGGTAAAGGAGGCAAAAGCCATTTTCTTTTGCCTCTGAACAAGAGACTTTATTAGAGGACTAAAAAGAAATTGGAACATCCATGTAGCAACTTTGCCCTCACTCAACTCAGTGTAACGCTTTTACTAAGGACTTTCTCCAGCCTTGTTCCTTCCCAGCTTATAGGAAAAAATCCTTTCCCTCCCTCTTTGGAGCATGCCCTTTGAAATGCCAACACAGCAAAGCAAAACAGCACTTGCAGGACCAGAGGCACAAAGAAGGCTACTGTTGAAGCCCACAGTGAAGGGGTTAACAAAAGACTTGAATATATTAAAACCCTCCGAATCTGACCTCTGGCACGGACACACACAGTGTTGGTGTACAAGCCAACCACTCCTGCTTAGAAGAAACAAACAGCCACTATTTTTCAGCAAGATAATTACCATTTTTTTCCATTGGGTATCCTAGTAAAAATGTAACAGAGCTGACATTAAAAATGCTTTCAGCCAGTTACCTCCGTCTGTGTCATTCCAGCTGCCAGCCCAGTCTGGCACTTGCCTGTCTTGTAAACTGATATTTAATGTATTCTTTGGAGTGTTCCCCATTCCTGGCTGCACAACTGGTCTGACCAGTGGAGTTTTCTTGCTGGACATTCCTGGTGTGCAGAAAAGTGGGAACATAGGTCATGCCACCTCCTGCCACACTGTGCCACAGGTCAGACAATGCAACAGGCACAGAACAAGGGCAAGGGCTGCCTGGACCACGAAGAGGAGGGTGTTCTATGCACACAACAGGTTTGGCCAGAACCAGGTGAGCAATGCAGAGAGCAGCACTAGGATGTGGTGTCCCATGTGCCTATAGCAGGTAGAGGAGCAAAAAGAAAGAAGCAACACATTATTTCTGCATTATGCTTTTCATCAGTGCAGCTCCAAGTGCTTTCCAAGGGAGGGAAGTGCCCCTGCTGCCTCATCTATGCAAAGTGGGAAAGTGATACACTCGAGGCCACTTGAGCCAGCCTGGCACAGCCTCCTTCTGACACAGGCTCTATCTGCTGCACCACACCACCATCCACCAGCACTGAAAGAGCTGGATCCAAAGCCTCTAGAAACCTTTCTCCTCTTTATGTATTTTTGAAATGTTTAACAAAAATTGCCACCAACTGAAATTTTTCTAGGGCTTGGGATTGTTTTTTTGGCACTTGAGAAGTGACACATTCTTCCTTGGCAGAAGACCTTATATGGTAAATCGCAGCTCAAACAAGCCTTTTTCACTTGCATAATACAGCCCCTGAAAAGAAGTTTTTGAATGGTGAGGCATCAAGGAGAGTCTGAACAACAGCAGAGAAATCAGACCCACTCGTATCCCAAGGGCAGTCAGAGCAAGAAAGTGTAGGAGCTAGGATGGAGAGTAGTCTGATGGGGGAGGCTAGCCCAGGAGACAACAGGGAGATGGAGGCTCAATCCCACTGAGGGCAGAACCAAAGCAGCAGGATACCAACAGTTAAAATGCAACTTAGTCAAGTCATCCTACAGCAGGTGGAAAAAAGAAGAGAGAGCAAAACAAAGGACATAAAAGAAACCAAGAAAGGGGGGGGGACGACACACAGACTGTGACAAAGGAGGAGAGTAAGTCTTTATGAGAGGCACAAAGAAGCTTTTCATTAATAAAAGCAGTGGAGGCAGCTCGTACAGCTCATTTCCCAGAGACAGGCAGAGCCAAGACCATCAGCCCAGCCAGGGAAGGAGCAACACTCAGGGCTCCAGAGAACCCCAGTCAGGATGCCCGTCCATGGCAAAGAGGCCTTGATGTCTTCCCAATTCCAAACCTCCAGGGCAAAACACATGGTCTGAATCTCACCTCGAAGAGAAGAACAGGCAGGGCTGAACCCCAGAGTGGGACTAACTGCTCACACACTGCAGCACCAGCTCGGGAGAGGGGCTCCATCACAGGCACTGTGGGTGAGGCCAGGGATAAAGGGAGCAGAAGCAAAGGAGCCAGGGAGGGGCAAGTTTAGCTCTCCCAGCAGCAAGAACCACTTCACCTCAGCTCACCGTGTCAGAGGATGTCAATCCTCCAGCCCAGACAAGAGTAAGCTGCCATGGTTCATTCACATCCCAAGCTCCTGCCAAGCAGCCATGAAGCTGTGTGGAATGATGCCAAGGGAAGAGAAGTATTATAATCCACCACCTCTCTTTTTGTGATGGAGAAAGGGAGGGGAAAATCCTTCCTTGGGTTACTAAGCCCATGCTTGAATCCAGTGCAGGAGGGGGTTGGCCTGTGTAACTTCTACTTTCTTCATGGAAAGAACATGAGAAACTCCAGTGCCATGCTGCAGTGAAGTGTCCAGGCAGGAGCAGGTTTTAGGATGTCTCCACCTTAACTCCCTGTACCAGGAAGGAACCAAAGTGGGGGGATACTCCCTGTGCTTCCTCTCTCACACCAGCAACCTCCCAGCTCCTGCTCTATCCCTCAGGAGCATCACACACTCAACATGTCTATGTTTTGACCTCTAGCATCTCTCTCTGAGTTCCTGCTGCCACCGGAAACAGGCCAGCAAAGAAGTGTGAACAGTCTGATGGTGATTTCAAGTAGCCAACCAGTCTGGACATTGCTGTTCAAATGAGAAGGTTAGGAGGTGCAGAATAAGGCAAAGGGTTTGAATACAGCACACTTGGCACACAGTGTCTGCAGGGTTTCTGTTGCTAAATCACACAAGCAAGGTGTCAGGTTACAGACTAAACCAAAAGTAAAACATCAGAAGTTACTTACCAACTTGTTGTTCTCATACACATTTTCTTTACTAAGGGAGTCGAAGTTTCTGAAATACAGAAAGAAGAGAAAAATCTCAGGCTGGTGTTGCAGAGCAAACTGCTTCACTTCCAGCTTCTCAAACCTCTTGGAGCCTCACTGGGACAGAGCAGCCCCATACCCTCAGACAGCTCCAGAGAGAGCAGCGTGGCAGATCCCACCCGAGACAGTCACAGACGTGCTGTACCTCCCAGGGCAGAGATGTGCAGCAGGCAGAGCCATCTGCCCACAGGCAGCACAAGACAATTTGGCACATCTACCCTTGCAGGGCTGACTCCCACAGCTGCCAGTGGACAGGACATGCTGATGCCAAAATATCCCAGTCAGATTGAGGGGTTCTGCTGAGATAGCCAGGAGCAACCTCTAACTTATGGGTGGTTTCTGTTCCCCAGAAAAGCCTTGCTTCTCTCCCATCTCATAAATGCCTGCCAGCCAGGTTTTAACACTCTCTCCCTGAAAGTATTTCCCAGTCATATCTATGTTCTCCTATCTTGAAAGTTGTCTCCACACAGAGAGACCTCAGCTCCAAGGAGGTCTCTCATGGATCCCTCATATGCTGCACGAATCACATGCTTCTCCAACACACCCATATCTCAGAAGATCCTGGGCCCAGCAGCACCCAAGTTCTGGTTTCAAATCCTCTCTTCTCCTCTGTAAGAGCTCCACAAAACCAGCACCAGGAATCTGCCTGGGAACTACCTCTGCCCACAACACCATCCTGCGGCTGATAACACCAAAGTTGCCAGTAGGAATCTTATTCTGCTTTCTCTGGGGCTGTACTTTTGATCTGTAATCATAATCAATAACTGAAAAGGAAGCAAGAATTATTGTTTGCAAGCTACAAGCCAAAGCCAGCAATTCCTTTCTGTTGTCCCCAGATATCATCTCCCTCTTCCCCTCTCCCCATCTCTGGTCCAGCCCAGATGCCATTCTCTCTGCACTGTGCTGCGAACTCAGAACCTGGGACCTGGTAGGACAGGGATGAAAGCACAGAGAAGAATGAGTTTGTGCTACTGACAGTAGAGCCACGGTGTGCTTCCCTCGCCCATAGCAGAACGTGTCCCTGGCTTAGGAAACAGCCACAATCAGCCTTGTTTTAAACTGACAGCCACTTGCTAAATTGTGAAAACAAAACTGGCTGTTGGCTGGCAGCCCTGCTCTCCAACACTGCTCCCTCCTGCCCAGGCAAGCGGGCGGGGTCAATTCCCTGCCGATAACCCCGTTTCACTTTACAATCCTCGTGTCTGCCGGCAAAGAGCTAAGCGAGAGGCTGATATCCGAGAGGAAACTCTCCTCACTGATAAACTGAAAAGGCTACAGCACCAACTTTGCATGTTCTGCACTTCTGCACTTTCTACCCGGTGTGGACCTACCCTGTGAGCCGGTCCCTCACCTGCGAGAGGAGCCAGGGTAACAGTGTGACAGCCGGGGCAAAGCCGGCTCACTGCGACCTATTCATGAGACAAACACATGATCTGTACCGCAGCACGGGAACTTTTTCCACCACTTGCAACAGCAAGGAGCAAGCCAGGTCCTTTATCTGCTTAGTACAGAAGGTGGAGCATTACATCATAAATAAGAGAGGCACCTTCAGCAGGTTTGCTCATCACGCCACAGCTTATGCCTCCTCCCCGCTTCCCACATCTGGTACTGCTACGTGGGATAAGGAGGGAAGAATGATAGATAAGACCCAAAGGTCTAACTCCCCCAAGGAGCACGTAAAGAAAAGGCACATCCCACTCTAAATCACAGACTCTTTCCTGTGCAAAATCAAAGGGAATTGAGGAGGTTTTTCTTCAAGCAGTGCTCCTGCCCAGAGATTTCCCTTCCCTGAGACAATGGATTAAAAAGAGCAACAAAAATAATCAAAAGCGAAAAAAGTTTCAGTGAAACAATAGATATGATCATCCTGGTTGAGTCAGGCGAGAAAAATGTCTTTTTCTAAGAACCAGCTGAAGGAAGTGATTGCACTGCTCTGCCTCACTCCCAGTTCTGTTCCCAAATAGTCTCTGTAGCAGGAAAATGAATGAAAGCACCTGCAAGAGCAAAGAGGAGCTCCTGCTTCCTTGGTCATGCTGACACTTAAAACATAACACGCTGGAATTACTATTTACTGTCAGTTAATATCCTTCAACCACGCTGAATGCTGTTTGCTGTGATGGTGTGTGCACTGCCTGGCATGGAGCAGAGACCTAAAAACCCCAATCTTTTCAATGTGAATGTCTCAAATCCCCTTCCATTCCTCAAAAGAGACTGCAAACAATCAGGTTATTTGGTCATTTCAAGAGTCACCTGATGTCTCAGCATCACTTCTTCCCTGGATATTCAGGTGAACTGCTTACATATAATATTTCTTTTGGAAATTGATCTTGCTGGTGCATCTCCTATCTTGGAGTATCAAAGCTCTCTGGACCAATGTAATCCTAAGACAGTAAAGCCAATACAAACAGAGAAGTAGGAGTTCTCCACTGAGAAAACACAGGCAACTGAATTAACTGGAAGAGGTGAAAAATATAAATGTGACCCAAGAGAAGGCCTCCAGTGCTGGAAACAAATCAGAGTGGATTTCACTAGCACGGGAATAAAGGCAAAGTTTTTAGCTCCCCCAAAAAATCCTTCCCTTAGCAAAAGAGTGGCTGTGTATTTCTCAGGCCCACAAATCTCCGTGACCACCCACTGCTCCAGCTGCAAACATGCCACAGTCCTCTGCAAGCACATGTGCTTCCATAGGAGGAATCTCTGCTGCTGCTACTGCAAGCACTAACCTGATTGGAAATTTGACCTTGGAGCAGACTGAGAAAAAAAAGTAAAACCCAGAGCCATGATGGCACCAAAAAAGTTTCTGCTTCTTGGCTCTTTTGTGCTGTTTTCTCCATAGACAATGAGATATGAGCAGTCAAAAGGATCACTGAGAAAGAGCGAGGTGCCCTTTGCCAGCTCACAGTCCTTGGACAGGGGGCTCAAATCCATTGTGCCCTGCTGGGAACAGGACCTTCCAGCTGTGCTCTTTCTGGAGGTGCAAACACTTGGGGGAAAGGGACAGGCTGGGAATCCCAGGTGGAAGATGGCCCCCTTCCACACTCCTGCTCATCCTCCTCTCAGGAACTCTGCTCCACCCTGCTGTGCTCTTGCTGGCAGCTGCAGTGTGCTGCTGGGGTGACCGACAACAGACAAGGCTCCCTGACCCCCAAACCATCCTCCCCACACCTGCACCTGTCACACAATCCACAAACCCACGAAGCCAAGCAGGAGGCTCTGCTTCACCCCAGCCTCTTGCTAAGGACATGGAAACTGCAGGCAACCCATCCTCAGCAGGGTCAGGACCCTCCCTGCCCACACTGGTGACCTCAGCCTCATCCTGCCCCACTGAGCTGACAGTGACCTGGGAAATGCTGCTGAAGGAAAGGGCACCCGCTGCTGCTCAGCTGCCAAGAGGGATTTCACAACCAGCCCATTCACCAGCTTGCAGTCTGTGAAAGAGCAAGATCCCAGACAAAGAGAAGGTTCTTAATCAAAACCTTTCCTTGACATCTGGCATTAATATCTGAGCGAGCATGCACAGCTCCCCTGCCTCTTCTAACTCACTTATCAGGCCAAGGTCACTAAAAAAGTGGCTGGAGCTTGCACAACCATCACCACCACACATGGCAGCTGCTGTGCTTAGTCTCTCACCACGCTGCCACGAGGCTTCATGTGCCCCTGAATAGAGGAGTCTCCCACGAGGCTTCATGTGCCCCTGAATAGAGGAGTCTCAGGACTCCACAATCATCCCAGAAAACAGGCTGGGACCTGCCTGACACAGCGTGTGTGCTGGGGCTGGCTATGAAGCACTCCTCAGCTGGGACAAAAAAAATGAATTTCCATGGTAAATCAGCATGCATCTTCCCTCCCCCTGAGCATCCTTGTAGGAGTGGGAAGTGAGTGGGAAATGCATTTCTAATTTTACACAGCCTGCCCTGTTCACTGATAACACACAAACCAACATCAGCTAAGTTCTGGAGAAGTTACCATAGTTTTTTGTTTTCCATCAAGAAAACAGGAAGGGAGGAGAGACCCCCACCAGCCTGTCATCTGAGCCACATATCCCACAAGAGAAGCCTGTGATTATGTCCATGTTTTGCAATTGCTTGAAGTTTTCCTGGTAATTTCTCAGGCTCCTGCAAGGAGAAATCCCCTGCACTCAGCCCAAGAATGTCATTTATATAAACCAAGACAGAAGACACACTGTTGCAAAACTCTGATGCCGTGACTAAATTGTTCCGCAAGCGATTTATACAGCAGAGCTGCTGCAAGCACACCAAGAGCTCCAAACACCAATTACCCTTTCCTAGTTTTATATTCAGTCTGACAGTCTTAAACAGGGATCTTTGCTAGAAGCAAGGGCAGGAGCCCGGGATGAGCCCCTGGGAAGCAGGAGTGACAAGCCACATGTGCACCCAGCTGCATTTCTCTGCTGGTGTCTCCTGCACCAAGAACAGTCAGAGAAGCTTTTACAGACATAAGGACAGTCTGCACAAGTATTCTGCTCCAGGATCCAACACATGACACCTGGCAGCCCTGGCCAACAGCCACTTGAAAGTGTAATTTCTTTCCAGCAGGACTTTGCCCAGCAAGGATACACCTGGTGCTTTCCTGTATTACAGCACTGACACTGAGGAGGGAGGTCACAGATAAAAGCTTCTCCTACTTTAACCTCCAGGCAGTCCTTGCCGAGCTGGTCCAAGTCAGAAAGAGCTTCTGTAAGGTCCTGAATAAAGTCAGGCAGAGTGTCCATCATAAAAGAAAATGAATGGGAACAGAGAGATGCCACAAGGAACATCTTCCCTCTTCAGCACAGAAGAATATATTTAAGATATGTCTATCCACAACCTTTGCTGCACAGTTCAAGGATTATAAACAACCCACTAAACTGGGCAACGGGATTGTTCCAGTTCTCAAGTTGCTGAGCCCCTGTGTTCAGCCATGCTCCATGGGCCAGCGACAGAGTCTGCCAGGAAGCAGCCACAGCCCCCCTACGAGCCCCTCCTGGCCACCTCAACCTTTCTGCCCTGGCATTTTGTATTTTTGGGACTGTGAATCAAAGGAAGGAAAGGAAATATCTGGAGTCACATGGACATGACAGCATGTCAGGAAGTCACACACAGCAACACCCTGGTGACTTGCCCAAGCACTGGGAACAACACAGAAAGCGTGCCTGAGGCTCCTGCACTAACCTCCTGCTGCCCAGGCCTGCTCCAGCCTCTTTTCAAGTTTCAACACAGCAGAGGAGAGAAAACAGGAGGAGACCTTCTCTTGGGTTCCACCAGAAGCGAGATACCCGTAAGAGGGATCTCTGCACACAAACCCATGTGGCAGGCTGTCCTGGGAGCGTGAGGAAAAAGGCAGAATACATGGGACAGGAGGAAAACTGCAGTAAAGACCACCCAACCTGTTCCTCTACCTGCTGGACACATCTGACCAGGAGAGACCTAATGCTTCAAACAATACACCTGGGCATGCTTTGAGCTGCTCCCTTGCCTTTACCTCCCCCCTCAATTCCCCCACCTAAAAGTCCAAAGAACCCAGGAGTAAAAACAAAACCAAAAGAAAAACCAATTATGAAGCAGGATCTGTGACCCCCTTTTGTTAACATTTGGGCAGGGACAGTTCAAAACCCTCGGGGCATGGAAAGCACTTTAACTTCCCACAGGCAGAGCTCTAGATGGGAAAAACAAGGATGTGCAGGAATACAGCGGCTGTCGGGCCCTGCCCTTTTACTGCATTTTGTTTAAATAGCCCTCGCCTCCCGACTCCTGAGCGCTGCCGTCGGGCTGAGCGAGGAGAGCCCAGCCAGAGCAAACACAACAGCAAAGAAGGAAACGCTCCCTCAAAGATCGGTGCCTGAACTTGTTTTGCAATGGAAAGGACACATTTAAAACATTTATAACTCAGCCACAGATGGAAGAAAAGGGAAAAAGGGAAAATATAGGTGGGGGGGAAAAAAGCACATGTAGGCAGAGGGAGAGCAGAGCTTTTCTCCTGGAGATTTTGAGCGTGGGTGTGAGCAGATTGCTGCTGGTAGGTGATGTGCGTACAGGGAAGGCAAGAGCCCAGGGCCTGGGGTCCACAGCTCGATGGACGGGATGACCACAGCCTGGAGAGGGGTCCTGGGCAGATGGAGGATGTGGGGCCACAGCCCGATGGACGGCGGGATGGCCACAGCCCATCTGCAGCCCGATGGATGGTGGGATGGCCACAGCTCAGCAAGGGTTCTGGGCAGATGGAGGATGCCGGGTTTGCAGCCCGACTGACGGCGGGGTGGCCGCAGGCCGGCGAGGGTCCCCGGCCACGAGCGGGGGGTCCCAGCCCCGCCGAGCCGGCAGCCCCAGCGCGGACCTCGACGCCCAGCCAGGTACTCACATGAGGTCGGGGCGGTGCCGGTGCAGGATGGCGCAGAAGGCGAGGCCGTCGCGGAACGAGGTGGTCATGTTGGTGATGCTGACATCGCGGTAGCCCTCGCACTGCTGCCGGCACCAGAGCTGCAGGTTCTGGATGGCGGCCATGGCCCCGGCGGGCGCCGCGGGGCTCGGCAGGGCCGGGCAGGGCTGCGGACCCTCCGCCCCAGCCGTGCCCAGCCCGGCCGGAGCTGCCGGCGGGGGGCGGCCGGACCGGCCGGGAGGAGGCGGGGAAAGGGGCGGGCGAGGGGCGGGGGCGGCCCCCGGGGCCTCCTCCCCTTGGGCTGTGCCGGCCGGGAGCGGGGGAGCGGCGGGGAACGCGGGGATGCGGCTGCGGGGCGGCCTCGCCCCACGGACACCGGGGCAGCAGCACCCCCGGGACCGCCCTGTCGCGACACGGGACCCCACACAGCGCGCCTCAAGGGCTTTTTTTGGTTTTTTTTTTTGCTCCCGCACAAAAACATTCAAGTGTCCTCCTTCTCGAAGGGGCAGCCGCAGCGGGGGAGTCGTGAATCGTTTTTAGTCGCTGGGAAGGGTGTTTTCCCCTATTTGGAGGAAAAAAGTTAAAAATCGCAATAAATCACCTAACTTTAACTGTCCTCTGGGTAATCCCGCGCTGGGAAGGCGGATTTATGCCCAGCATCACCATTCTCTCTGTTGGTGTGAAACCAAGTACAAGTGCTGCAGGGGAGCCACCACGAGCCCCTTTCCCACCCTCCTGAGATACCACTGGCCAAAGAACGAGGAGGAGGAGGAGGAGGGAGGACGAAGCAGGGCTGCCCAGAGGTCTCATGGTGGCCGGGAGGGAGGGAGGCCAGCCAGGGCCAGAGGATCTGTCCGTCCTGGGGCAGCACATCAGGCATTGGCAGCTGTCATGGAATCATGGAGTGGTTTAGGTTGGAAAAGACCCACAGCCACGTACCTCTGCACCCCATCCCCACAGAGAAGCTTGGGGTGGTGGGTGAGGGAGCGGGAAGGTGGCTCCCGCTGCCGTCCTGCCCTGCTGGGCTCACTCCAGCCAGCACTGTGGTGGCCAGTTCATTACAGCTGCCCCACAACACACACATCCCATAAAATAACTCACCAGACCTCATGCAGCTGCCAAAACAGCAGAAGAGACAAGGTAACACTTAAAGAGCTGCCTATAAATTAGGTAAAAATAATTAATAATACATATAATATATTAACAGCATTTCTGTGACATGATATGGATAATATACATTAATATATAAATACCTTACGAATAATTCAGAGGGTTTCCATTTCATCAACAATCACTGGCCAATGTATTTACTTTATGGTAAGGATTATACATTTCATTATAAATGGCTTGCTGGGCATGTCAGCAACTTTTACATCTCCATTCACTTTATTATTAATGGTTTCCTGAACAGTAATGGCATAATAATGCACACAATGCAGCATGAATATTTGATGTGGCATCTATAGTCTCCCATTTATCATTTATAACAGGCTACAAAAACATTATAAAACATTTATTACAAATTTATAGATCACTTTATACTAAAACAAAGTTGTGTTATAAATACATTATTAATCCTTTATGCCTTTTATAGGAATCCCTTGTAATAAGGCCTTAGCATATGTTGCTGCACGACCATAGCAAGAGTGGTGTGGTGAGGAGGAAATACGGCACGGTGAGCCTGCTCCCAAGTCCTGGGTGTGTTCTGTGAAGGAAAACAGAAACATCTGCACTCAAAATTAATCAGACTACCAAGGGACCAATCACAAGAAATGCTGGATTAACTCAAAGTCGAGTTTTTTCACCCCTCTCTCAAAAAAGACACTTGCCTTTGCAGCACCGGAGCCCTGAAAGCTGAGCTGTCCCACAATTCCACACCACCTTTTCATTAGATTAATAAAATTTGCATAATTTATGAAAAGCCTGGCTAACAACAGGCGGCCCTTCCCATCCTCAGGTAACGTAGGGCTTGGTGAGAAATAAAGAGGGTGTGCTGGGTTTAGGAAATGTATTTGTGGGGTTTCTTTCTGTAAGTCCCAAAGACTGTTTCGCAGTGTGCATCCCCTGCCACGTTTGCAATAGATGTAGTACAGCACTGGGGAACGAGAAGGAAATGATGTTTGAAAACGGAGTGGTTGCCAGTTGCTGTTCATACAAACAGTGAAAATCTGCTTCTGAGCACAGCTTTGACACAGCTGTACTTACCCCTTTCAGATTTAATGGCCCAGATGGGGCATGGTGCAGGGAATGGGACTTAGTTTTTTAAAAATATATTTGTTTAACATGACAATCTGTCTTCTAACGAACCCGGTTAATGAGTCGATGCAGTTAGTCCCTTCTCATTACCTCTGCTTTGGGAAGGGCAGCTGGGGCTGGGTGGCAGGGGATGCAGACCCACGGAGCGGAAAGCCAGGCTGGACTTGGAGAGCAGTTGTGATTTCCTGTGTATCACAGGCCACTATGTTCCACCTTGTCCCTCCCTCCCGCTGAGCCCTGTTTTTGACCGAGTCGGTTGTACCACAAAGGCACCCAGGCTTGCAGACACCAGAAGAAGAAACTTGGAGTTGCTGGCTCCAAGGTGTGAATCCCAGGAGAGGGTTAGGGTGGAGGTACAGCCCTTGGTGCACCAGAAGAAGCAGGTCGGCATTATACACTGAGGTGATTAAAATGACATCGCTGAAGGAGTTTGCTAATGCAGTAAGAGTATTACTGCTGGGCCAGTAATGCTTTCCAAAGTACAGGTATCAGAGCCTTGTGCAGTGTTCTTAGTTGGTGATTAAGGAGAGCTCTGTAGGAGTTTACAGTTATGATGAGTCTTTAATGCACCAACAGGTAAACTAACCAGCACTAGAGAGAGGAAGGGGGCAGGAAGGGAGCAGAGCTGCCTGCACAGCTGCCTACATATTACCCACAGCTGCTGTGCTGCCAGGATGTTCCTCATGGGATGATGGTTACAAATCCTGACTCTGGATTGTATTTTTCCTTTCTACAACTTTTCCTTTGAGGAGCCTTACATGTCCTTATCCTGTTTTGCAGACCTTGCCCCTGCTCACTGAGCTTTTCCCAGTGCTGCTGGGTGAGGTTTCCCACCTGCAATGCACAGCTGGCTCATGGAGCAAAGCACATCCTGGGAGCACAGTGCCTGCTCCCCTAGATCTCTTCCCAAGGCATGTTTGGAAGCTTGTTGGAGCAGCATACCACAGACATGGACTGATTTATTCTTCTCTACCTACAGACACTTTTCTTTCTCTTTCTCACTCCTTCCCAGTTCTCTTCCTAGATACCAAACTGCAGTGGAGAAATGCTGAGTGCTTCCTGACAGTTGTTATGACTGTGATTAGTGAGGATCACTCTCTGCCATCACCTCTTAAATTTATCCTGGATCCCATATGCAGCAGCATGGACTTCACTATTAGCAGAGAAAAAACCTTAAATACGTGACTAGGACCACCTTAAAGCTCAAAGAAAAACAACCAACATTTGTTAGCTTGAGGACTGGAAGGGTCAATTCCTTGTATCAAACAATGCTGAGGCCTCATGAAGCTGAAAATCAAGTGAGTCTTTTTTTTTTTTTTTCATAAGAGAGAGTAACATCATAGAAAAATCACATCTTTTAACTATTGTTAGAAATTAGCTGATCAAACTGAGCTACTTCCTAATTTTGCCGCAGGCTGTGTGCAGGGCTGTTCACTCCCAACAATAGGAAGTGTGTGTTGTAGCCAAGAGCTCTCATACATTCCCGTGCCAATGGCTTGTATTAAATTGAGGGATTCAAAACAAGAAGGAAAAAGTATGCATCTCATCAGTAACATGCCTCATCAGCTCTCTCTTCCCAGAAGGCAGCCAGGCTGACTCCACAGAGACGGAAAAGCCCAAAACATGGAAAAGAAAGCCCCAACAATTTCACAGCTACTCACACAGAAATGCTTCTGAGTGGTAACCCGCCTCTCCTCTGAGTCTGACTAGTTTGACCTGCAAAAGTAGCAGAAAAAAAGTTATTACCAAATTCAAGTCTGAACAAGAATTTCCACTGAAAAAAGATGAAAGTGAAACGTGAAGTTACAGCAAAAGGCACTTCGGGAAAGTTCTCTGCAACACATGCCCCTGAGAAGCTCATAAATGTAAATCCTTTATCCTAAAACCTCAAAGAAAAAAAAACAGCGAGCATCAGAGCAAAGTGTGTCCTGTCTGTCAATTGAGCATAACACAATGTCACATCAAACCAGAAAAAAGTCTCTCTCCTTTGTCCCTCCTGCCTGCCATCCAGATGATTTGCTGGCTTTCCTGTCCCCTGAAACAGTGAGGTGAGGGACAGGCTCAGAAAGTTATTTCCAGAGACTGATCACATCCTGCATCCTAGTCACCAGGTGAGAGGAAAAATAAAAAGGCCATAAACAGCAGCTTGGTGGGTCACCAGTCCCAGGGAGCTAAAAGCAGGTCTCCAATAGTATTGGGGATGGTATTTATTTCAGAAGGTGATCTCCCCTTCTGTTCCGAGGAAGGGGAGACAGGTGGTGGTGATCCCCAATCTTTGCACTGCCATGGCAGAGCGCTCCCTCCATCCTCCGGGAGCTGCAAATGTCACCATTCTTATCATAAAGCAAAAGCAAAGGTGTTTTGCTGATCAAAATTTGTTTGGATCACGAGATTGGGTGAGGTGACCCCATGTTTATCAAGACCTCACCACAGGAACAGGACCCACCCCGGAGCAGGAGCTGGCTTGAGCACTTGGAAATGCGTGTCTTATCAGTGGAGCAGAGTTTAAAACCAATACAATTTGTTAGTCATTAACAGTGTGAACGTGCTGAAGCAAAAAAGCACTCTGCCTTTTCCAGGCCCTTTGTGGACATGAATAAGTGAAGCTTCCTTTTCCTGGTGGTGAGGGTAAATGAGGTCTTGTTTCACAGGAACACAAAGACACTTGCTCATCATTCAGCTTACTGCTGAACCCTGAAATCCAGCTGGAACCTCATCTGGAAAAGAAGCTCGCTCTTACCTCAGGTTACTAACTTAATAGCAATAAAATCCTTGAGATAGAGTAACTCCAAAGGCCAGAACTTTCCACTTTTGCACTGAATTGATCTGACAAAGTACAAATTGCCTTGTTTTCACCCAGACCAAACCTGAAGCACTATGTGATTTATTCGGGGGAGAACAGGGACTCCCACAGAATATCTATGATAGTACAAAATT